CGTTCCACGGGGGTAATTATGTTGCGACCGGGGAAACCGGGGAATTTGCATCGAGCGTATTTCTTTCCGCGTGCAGATCCCTTTGCGCGCCGGATCCGCCAAGTCCCGCGGCCATTTCCGTTCCCCGGCCCCGGTCGCTAAATCTCCAACGGAGGAGGGCGCAATTGCGCCCTTTCGCGTCCTTTCACCCGCCCTATGCTCGCGCATTGTCGCGTTTGTCGACCGATCGACAAAGTCTTTGGACCTTCTCCGCGTTACCCCGAGATATTTATCCCGCAAGAAGCTGAATTTTCGCGCATCTCGCGAGTCCACGTAGGAATATTGGCATTTCCGTGATTCCGAGAAGCCGGATCTCATTGGCCTGAATAAATTTCGCGGAATGTAACAGGGAAACTGAGATTCCTCGACACGTGAGACTGTCAGGCGAGATTTATACGGTTTTGTAAAATATCACGTCACGATGCGGAAGTGAAGATTCTAAAATATTTATAGAAATAGAAACGTACGTCAACGGCATCAATTTCCAAACTCTACACGATGTAGAGTCATAAAATGTAAGTAACCTGTTAAACAAGTGACGTAATATTTCGTGTCAAGTTGGATGTAATTTTTCTACATTCTCTGGTAATAGTCCTTCTCATTGCAATTGCTATTTTCATAAGCTGTTTATATTACGTCGGCGTACACTACGTATTATTAGGTGGTTACGCGGTGAAATGACCGAAACTTCCAACGTTTATAACATCTTGACCATCTTTAAATAAATAACAGTCTCGTAACAAGAATGACTCCGTGTTTGGCATCTTGCAGAAAAGCAAAAGAGCACTCCAACATTTTTCGTTTTTGATCTTTATTTAGCAAAATATTTCTTTAATATTGTCTAATCGGCATAAATCATGGAACAGTTGTACTTGACGAAGTTGCAAAGTTACGAATATTATAACAAACACGGTATTCCAAATAAATGTTGCATTAGTTAGATCTTGGCAAAATCTTCTTCGCAAATTCACACAGCCGTGCAAACGAACAACAAATCTCGTCCTGAATCGTGGTTCAGATTCTCGAGGTCTGCTATCTCGCGACATATATATCCAAGAATTCGACCTCGAGAAAAATCCCTGACTGGACCCGATATCTCCTCGGTTCTCGCACGCCTCTACTCTTCGGTGAACATATTCTCAAATAAAAGATAAAAGAGCGACGGTGGGGGGTCTCTCTCTCTCTCTCTCTCTCTCTCTCTCCTGCGCACGTAGACTCGTGTGTGCGTCGAGGAAACACGGGAAGAGGAGAAAGTGGGACGTCGAGTGACCCACAATCGGACTCTCCACGGATTCGCTCTTCTTGCTCGTTTTCCTCCTTTTTTCCTTTCCCTCCCTTCTTTCTTTCTTTCGCCGAAGTTTCCCTTCCCCCGAGGTCTTATCGAAGGTCCGTACCCGAACCTTTTACGGGCCAAGTTTATTGTATTGACACAGTTCGCTGATGAATTTGTTTGGTCGGTTAGAAGTAAATGCGGCAGCGATGTGTCGTAGTTTCCTCGGGTCCGGGAAACTAATGGTCCGAATGACGAGGGTGATTGCTTAGCTGATTACGCTTTTCAACGGTGACATCACGTGCAATTTTGGCTTCCGGGTGTAGGTACGTTTCTCGGTCTCGTCTCTTCTTGGATTTTAGACGATTTAACGGAGAACGGTTGGATCCAGCTACACAGTTGGAAATTTTCTTTTGTCCGAAATACTTGGCCTGTTTTCGTTCAAGAAGATTGCCTAATCGTGTCGCGTTCATCTTAGCGCGCGGAGAGATAAAACGAGCATTTTTCAATGACGACAGAGCTCGATGGATGGCAATGGCAAACTGTTCTGTTTCTTCCGATTACGAATTAATCAACTCTATCGATACGTAATTTTTTTAGTTTAGTTTTGAACAATGTATTTGTCTTTGTATTTGAATGTAGGAGTCTTTCAGAAGCGAAGTTCATCGATTTAATTTTGTATCGTTTTTTTTTTTTTGAATTTTAGTTTATACAGTGGTGGGCAACAGAAAGTTTACAATAGTACTATAAATATTAATAATTTACTAAATATTATATTTTTTAGCATACTGGCAATAGTAATCTATTTGTATTTATTACTCTTGGCAAACCTTGTAATTTTATTTTTTTTTTTTTTCTGTCCATCGTCATAAGTATAAGAAATAAATGATTTACTTAAATCACAATAAATTCATTCGTAGTAACAAAAGCGATTCTTACGGTAACTTTGACTGAATTTTAAATAGATTATACATGCACGATCGTTGTTTGTCGTTCAGAAGGAGAAAAAGGAAGTTGTCAGCTGTCGTGAGGCAATAAACAAGTGTAAAAGTGCATGGTCAGTAGATCTTACAGAAATTCTTGACTATCGTAATTCATTTGTTAGTTAAAATTAAACGACTTTTAAAATATTAACACGAGCAATTCTATAACATTTAGATTTCGTGATTTTTAGTTTCAGTTTATTTAAGGTTTTTCAATGAGCAAATGTAAAAAATATTTTTTGGAATCAATTTTTAAAATACTTTTGTCAATCATTCGTCAAACTATTTATAAAGATACCATGATACGATTTATTAATAATTATTAATTATCAAAATTAATTATCAGTATAATAAATAAACTACAATAATAATAGTAAATCATAAGTTGCAATAGAACGTTAATTAATACTCATAAAATATTAAAATTCTTATTTTTCTATAAACACCTTTAATTTAACTATAGAGTTTACATTGCTAAATTCCAATATAATATTAATATATAGATTGAATATTAACCTTTCAGGGTCAATGCCCGTTCATTTTACTGACTCCAGTGTAAGCTAGACCAAAAATGATTTCATCGATACTAAATTATTACACGTAAATCTACAAAAATTATTATCGTTACTATTAACTTGTCTAATTATTACTATCAATGTGATTTAAATCGATGGGGATCGATCTACGTATAATTTGCTCTTTCTTACAATTCGCTCACTTTCAATTTACAAATCGGAGGATTATATATTTTCCGAGCAGCTCGTATCCAAGAGTCGCCAAGGAGAGCGAAAAATAAAAAAAAAAAAAAA